GTCAGCTCAATATCTTTTTTGTCTATTTAACCCTATCCGTACGTTGTATTCTACAATCGTATCCATTGGACATAGGGAACTCTGTGCCACCATTTTCCAAAGAGGAAATTTACTCGTTAATCCGATTCATAAGCTTTGCATAGCAGTCTGTCAAAATTATTTTTCGAGAAATACTTAAAGTTTCAAAGAGATCTTCGAACGAGAAGTATTCTAAAATGTGAAGAATACAACCCTCGGGGCACAAAATAACCCTAGTGCGTAATGATAGGGTTAACAACATATTCCTGCTTGAGTTTTATTTGAAACGTTGATCAAAGGTAGAAATAGTATAAATTTGCAGCTTCCAACTTCAGCTTTGGAAACCACCAAACTTTGGCTGTCAATTCGTCTCTAGTTTTAGCTATAATACCAAGCAACCCCCCCCCCCCCCCCCTTTCCTCAATTGCAAATATCTCTACTACTGCGAGAGATAGATGAGTAGTCTTTTAGTTTTTTATTTTCATCAAAATCAAGGCAAATTAACAGACTTTAATACCATCAAAATAACTCCATAAGCCCAAAAATTGACAGGTGCACGATTCCACCGCGTTGTAACATATTATATTATTCTTATAAAACCAGAGGTCAGTTGGGATGACGACGGCTGTGGCGGCAGTAATTGGGGTGGGGGTGGGGCTGGTGGTAGACCAATGCCCACATTGCCCCTGTACAGCCCCGTTTACCCAACCACAATGGCGCCCGGTGGGTCAGGTGGCCACGCCCCTTCCGGAGGATTACAGGAAGTGACCCGAGTGAGGATGTTATTTCCGGAGGCGTGGTTATGGAGTTCGGCAGTGACTGGGTTTGTTTTTAACCGTTTCGACGCCAACTCTTAGTCTTTTGTTTTTTCAACCTTCTCGTAACCAAAGAGGTTTCTTCGCTATAAAATTAAGCGGTTATTGGGTTTGTTGTCAGCCTTTCCTGGGCCAAAATGTTTTAAAAACTTATGGGTTTCAATGGTGACTGTTTCTTTTCTGTCAAACTCACGGTTTTGTTCACTTTTGGTTTTGTTTTTGGTTTCTGTAGTGATTGGGTTGTTTGTTCAACCTTTTCCATGCCAAAGAGGTTTCCATGATGACTTTCTGGTTTCATTAACCTTTTCCCTGGCATCCCAATAACTCCATATGCTCAAAAATTGACGAATACCTGATTCCACCACGTTGTAATACATGATATTATTCTTATAAAACCAGAGGTCAGCTGGGATGACGACGGCTGCGGCGGCAGTAATTGGGGTGGGGCAGGGGGTAGACCAATGCCCACTATGGCCCCGGGCCAGACCTTTTATCCCTCCACGCCCGCGGCCCCAATGGCGCCCGGCGGGTCAGGTGGCCTCGCCCCTTCCGGCGGACTACAGGAAGTGACCCGAGTGAGGATGTTATTTCCGGAGGCATGGTTATGGAGTTCGGCAGTGACTGGGTTTGTGCTCAACCCTTTCCACGCCAACAATTCTCTTCTAAGTGTTTTGTTTTTTAATCTTTTCGAAACCAAAGAAGTTTCTGCGTTTATAAAGCTAAGCGGTGACTCGGTATATTGTTACCATCTCTATGCCAAATTGATTGGTTTTTTTTCACTTTTATTGTTTCGGTGGTGACTGGGTTTATTTTTCTATCAAACTCACGGTATTGTTTCCTTTTGATGCTGTTATTGGTGATTTGGTTGGTTTTTAACCCTTTCCATGCCAAAGAGGTTTCCATGGTTACTTTTGGTTGTATTAACCTTTTCCATGGCATAGGTGTTGTCATTGTTATGTATCATATTTAGTGACTGATATTTTATCTTAACCATTTCCAAGCCAAAGATGTTTCCCACGGTTATGGATTAAGCAATGACTATCTTTGTTTTTGAAACTTTTCCAAGCCGAAGGGTTTCTGCGGTTATTGGTTACAGAAATGAGTTGATGTGTTATTGACGTTTCCCAAACCAAAAGCTATGTCGTGAGTATTTTGTTTTCTTAAATCCTTTAAGGGGGGGGGGGGG